CTTCAAAACACGTTGAATAATATATCCTTATAAAGATCAATCACAAAATGCACTTAAGACCTTATTACAACTCGTGTCATCAGACACAAGATCAGAAACAATTAGAGATTTTAACAACTCTATCAGATATTCATCACAAATAAGTTAAATGTTACACAATTTTCTGAAAGAAAGTTTACCAAGTTCCAATAATTTGAATAATAATCGTATCTATATGATATATTATTAGCTAATAGCGTTTAAGGAGCTAAGAATATATATTTTGTGGGTACTAAATTTCAAGCACAAAATTATTATAACAGTTACATAACAGACAGTAGCTAGCTACCGCTGGTGCAGGAGGGGAGGCAGCTGCGCTGCACCTGGACTCATTCTAATTTAGGGCGTTTTTATACGGTTTACCAAGTTCCAATCATTTGAATAATAATTGAATCTAACTGTGTTAGAATCTGACTGTGTAAGAATTATATCAAAAGTTTGTCTTTATAGTAGTATATATTATAAATACTATGTACCATGTACCTTAGGTATGTCATATCCATCAAGTTTTGTATTGTTCAATACTCTTCTTGGGCCAATAGTGGGCGTGACGTGAGTTATCCTTTTTGATTCTAACAACACGGCTTCTAAGTATCTGTTCCTATTTGTAATCGATTCAAATTAGTATTGAATATTCGATTCTTGCATTGATCAATGACGACTTACTTAAGTATTTCTGTGGCTGTTATAAATGTTCCCGGTGGTTGGATCACATCCAGAGTAGCTCGAACTTTGGCTTGAACGTCTGGCCACTTGGCCATGGCAAGTATAGCAAAATCTAACGTACTACTCGTGGTCTGCGAACCGGCTATGAATAGATCTAGACACACGGCTATTAACTGTTCCTCTGAAACAGATTAACGGAATTGATTTTCTAATGAAAAGACATAATGTCCGATTATAACGTATTTACTATTATGCATAAGTCGCGTTGTCAGTAACGTAAAACTATCGAGTATTCAGTGTTCTATCACGATGAACTAGATTTCGTTTATTTCTCACTATAGTTTTTTATCTTATCTACGTGTAATTTCCCAATATGGACGATGGTTAAGAATTGCTTTACTGGAATTTTTGGGAAAAGGACATCTCTCGCCTAAAATACGCCACGGTATCTAGTCTCTACTGACCTGTAAATGTTGTGTTGGATTTATCTTCTTGTTGCATTCGTAGGAGATACGCATCAATGAAATCCCTGATATTGTCTGTCAAAGTTTTTTTATGTTCTTCAATTTTTTCCTAATTCATAAATGATAGGTAAATTTAAAGAGTAAACATAACGCAAGTACTATGTATTTTAGTATATGTTAGTTTACAATATCTATGTATTTATTATTTTTTCACGGTCCTCTCATTACTTACCGATATCAATGCGAACAGCTGTTGGTTGATGTCCATAATGAGTGAGTAACCCGTTTTAGCGGGTGCCACGTGTCTTAACCAAGGCATTTGGTTGAGTAATCCGCCAGCCATATCAAAAGCTGCACCACGCCTACTCATTAGCTGCAATATCTTAGGGTCATCGAATTTTGTGCCGGCCGTCAACTCCCATAATATATTCATAACGGCCGATTGCAAGTGCGGACTCGGTGTGATACTTTCGGCCTCTTCCATTAGCCCTCGTGTCATCTGTTCGTACTCGTCACGAATCAGTTCGTCTGTTCTTCGCTGTCCCAGTCCTAGTGACTTGAGATGCTTAACCACAAACGCTCGGTGCACTTTCCACAAGTCTCCATCGGTCATCGTGATGCCTGTTTTTGTACATTTAAAGTTAGATGAAATGAATATCCTAAATTCCTAGGGTAAATGAGTGAACAAGATTATCAATTTTACGTAAAACACTTATTTTCTAAAAAAATAATTGTAATTTTATAATTAATTTCGCAAAAAAAAAAAAATTACTTAGTTTTTATATTTTGCTTAAAATTTTTAACTGGTCAATAACTACCTTTGGTTAATTACTTTTAGAGGTATGAAGTTTAAAATGTAGTACGGGAGGAAAGGTGTAGTTGGTGTTTTTTGTATTTGCGGTGCATTAGCCTACAGCACTTCACATCACGTCTTAAACTATTCCTAATCTAAAATGTTGATTACATCTATACGTTAACGTTTAATTTTAAAAGTTTGTAAAAGCTCTAGGAAAAAATGAAAAAATGTGTCTAATATTATAAAATAACATAAACTAAGTGTCACCACAAAAAAAAAATTACAAAATTGCAACTTTTTAATAAGAAAATAAGTGTCTTACGTTAAATTGATTATTTTTAATACACGATACCCGTTTAATCATCAATGGGCTTCAATTGCTTAGTCTAAGATTTAGACTCTAAGTGATACGGACATTACATTTTATGGTCTATTTCTTATAAAGTCTATAGTTTTGTTTTTTGTTTAAACGTTTTTACTTACCCCTGCGCTCGCCCATTGTACGAAGTCGCATAAAAAAGTTGTCTGGTCGGCCCATAAACTCTTCTCGGTGGAAAGTATCATTAAGCAAAGCATCCCCAAACACGACCACCACGTATTCACAGCCCAATTTCAATCCAATTACATCGGAATTGTAGCGAAGTCGGAGTTTTTCGAATGCTTTGTACTGTCCCCCCGAAGTTGCAGAAAGGTTGGATAGCTGATATGTATTCCCTACGAATGGCATCCATGGGGGACCTGCGAAAAAACATTGATAAAGATTATAAATAATGCCTTACTATTTGCTTTTACTGGTTTAAGATCATTTTGTTTGAATTGTTGTGGTTGCATCTCACTTATCTCTATGCTTATTAAAGCTCGAGCAATAATATTAGGTATTTCAAATCTATTTAAATTATTTTAGCCAGTCATATTTTTATGGTTCGCTTTTTTGTTTTATTAAAAGGAATAATTTACGTAATAGTTGGGGCTCACGTTCGTTAAATTACCCGCGGTATAGTTTTGGTTAGATGAGCTATTAGGAAGCTTTATAATGATGTGACGACTGTTTAAGTATAGACTTATTTAATATTATTATAAGTATTTAATTATTTTTTCGTATTTAATACGAATATTGAATAAATATGATTATCTTTCCCTGTCGTTCAGTTGCACATTAAGTAGTTCGATAAGTATGCGAATGAGTTTAAACTGCAGTCTGCACTATGTAAATGTATTATTCAAGGGGAATGATTAAAATAGTTTAAAGATCGCATACAAAGTCATTGGACTCTGATGGTATGAATTGTATTCATTTAAAATCTGTTAATTCATAAAACGTTCAGAGGGCGTCGCACCGCCCATTTTTAAGGCGTAAAGTATAGGCAATTTTTTACAAAATCTTAATCTAAAGGCTAAACTGTGATGTGTAATTATTAGTTCCATAACTAGTACTCTATTTTGGTAATTGATTTATTTTTTGGACTACCACAGCGTACTTGAAAGCGATTTAAAAATGTTTTTTCATCCCTACATGTTTAAGCAGACTGAAAATAACTCCCTTATTTTTGGTTTTAGAGTAAAAGCACCCATTATAAAATTAAAAGAGAACAATATTCTGGAGGGCAAGACGGTGCGTTTTTTTCATTATTCTAAGTACAACGCTCAATACATAGTTTAGAAATGACGACTATTTTAACATATTTAAATGACTGTAACTTTTCAAAAAAACATTTTTTTTTTTTAAACGCACCGTCTTGCCCTCAAGAATATTGTTGTCTTTTAATTTTATAATGGGTGCTTTTACTCTAAAACCAAAATTAAGCGAGTTATTTTCAGTCTGCTTAAACATGTTTTTACCACTGAAAATCACCGGTGCGACGCCCTCTTAACTACTCGTAAATTTGTCAATAATAATATTTATTCCGTTATAAGTTTAGACCTACTCGAAGTCCAAATTAAAAATGTATCTCGACCACTGAGGCAAGTCGGCAAAATTGATTTTCCATAAACGCATAATATGATACTATTTCTAACCCAGTAATATATTTTGATTTGCTCACGGTGGGTGGTATTTCAAAACAGATGGTTTTAAAAATAACTACACATTATTCTTTCTTTGTGTTTTTAACACTTATATTATCTTTTTTATTAAAGTATATACTCGTATACAGTGCTTCAGAGTTATCAAAACGTTCAACAACACTGAAATTATCTCCCGTTTGTTAATTTTTTTTTTACAATTTTGTATTACTTACAAATAACAATTATTAGAATTTCGTTTTTAATTTTTAACATATTTATGTTCCTAAAAAAAATTGGTATAGTATAAGTATTTTTTGCACTACCTTAATTTTAAGCTAAACTTTAAGTAGTGCAATAAAGTTTTTTAATTAAATATATTTTATCACCGATTATCACCGAGAACATAATATTTTTTTTAAATACTTGTTTAACCTATAGTACTAGTTTTACTTGCTATACGGTGGTAGAGCAAAAACATACATAATAAATGTATTTAAAGGATGTACAATGGTCGATTTTGATAAATTAAAAGAGTTTTTAAAAGTTTTATGAATAAACCCCTACTGAAGATTGAGTGTGCAAGTATTCTGAAACGATGGCAGACCAGTCAATCTATTCAAGTTGGGAGTAAACGTAAGTTGTATAAAAAGTGTAAAAACCCTATTAGTTATAATCTTTTAAATAGCTGTTATTTCATTTCTAAATACAATAATGGAAATTTGCCAACGTACAGCCCTCAGAAATATTATATTCTCCCGCTTTGATAATAGTTGTTTTTACTCGACTACTTAAAAGTCTATAAAAGCCTATCTGTATGTCAATTTTTTTTATATAAAAATAGTTAAATCACAAAATTAAGGTAAAATTTTTAAAAGAACGATTATTATTATGTTAGTATAAAAAACGAAATTAGCATTTAAATTAAAATCAATTTAATTAATTGATAACACAGTTAGTACCTAATTTAATGGATGAACGACGGTTAAGTAAAAAAGAAAAGAAAAATACTAGATGGGAATATATCGTGTTACCTGGAGGATAGTTTTTCGGTTTCCTACACGTTAAGTAAACGGCTAGCAGCACTGCGCCTATGACAAGGCATACCAAATACCAGAGTATGGATTGCGCCATGGTGATATAGCACTATAATAATAATATATATAATACTGTCACAACTGCGGTCGTCGGACAACATGCGGTACGCGGTGGCCGCCGTAGAACTAAACAGAGCTATATTACGCGATATAAATTGAGTACCAGCCTGTGAAGTGTGCGTTCTTTTCCCCAATGGCCAATACCTTTTTTATCCCGGCGCCGTTGAGTAATTATTCAAAGGAAGTCCGCAGGAAGGGGACTCCTATCTCATTACGCTGTACCACAGTATCGAACACGCTGTACATCTGTCTGTACGTATAGTCAATTCAATAAACTCAAATTTATAAGTAATGTAATTCCTACAAGTAAGCAGAGCCGTATCCGATCGATGTGGTGGTTAATATAGGGTTATTGTTTGTCCCGATATTAAAATATTGTGTACAGTCGTGGTTTTTGTTTAGTTATTTTCAATGGGCCTCACACCAAATATTTTGTGTCTTAACCTTGAGATTCCGCGAACTTGTTTATAATAATTTTTTTAATCCACTTAAACTGAAGTACTTTTTTCAAATCATTTTCAAAACTATACGCCAACGTTTAAATTAAACAGGTTAGTATAGATCATACATAGTTATAATACAATTATAAATAATAAAATAATTTAATATAAATTATAATATCATATGGTAATAATATTATGTCATCTCACCGGCTAGAGGCAGTCGTTACATTGACCTGTGAAAACAAATATTATTCTTTCTATAGAAAAAATATTATTTAAACTATTTTTTTTTTTTAATTATAAATTCCCGCAGCATCTGTCCTATTGGGTCACAGGGTATTATACTATTTAGTTAACGAGTTTACCGATGGCATTTGTTAAAAAATAATTTATCATAGGTTAAACAGACACGACAACAGATGTTCTGCTTTGTTTTTTTTGAAAACCAAATTTTATACTCGGTATTTTTTTTTTATATCCATTCAGTTTTCAAATTAAAAATAAAAACAACCAACTTTGATTATTGTTTAGTAATATTTAGTTTGGGTTTTTAAAACTAAATCCTTTAATATTTACGTCAATAGTTTTATTATAACATCCTGGTATTGTTATATAATATTATGGAACAATTATTAATTTAATGAAATTGGTTTTATTATTACTAAATGAAAACCATAGGCTGATATAGAAATCATTATACCGCACCAAATCTTTTCCCGACGAACAGCAATTATAATTTAAATGATAATATCGATTTGTTGCGATTAAATCCTCGTTAACAAAATAAATCTAAAACACATCTAATATAAAACATATGCCTGGGCATAATTTTTTTAATGAGCACACATGTTAACGTATAACTATTGATTATAAATATTATTACAGATATCAATACTATTGATTATAAAACTAGTAATTATAAGCAATGGTGTAATGTAAATTGTAATAAATTGAGTTAGTCGAGTTTTTTTTAATGTTGGCGTTTGTACTCTCTAGATTGGTAGCTGTGCCTAATTGTGTTGCTATCTAAATAACAAACACAAATAGCTGTTTCGTGACACTACGCTGATCTTAGTTCTGTGTTTCGCGCTGGTTTCTAATAATAATAATAATAAAAAATGCAACAACTATTGTTAGTCTTATTTTCATTCGAAAAAACTAGTATTAAAACTAATTGTGGCTAGACTATATTACATAGAAAGGCTTTTCTAAAAAAGCTCTGGTACCTCCTATATGAGAAATGGAGGCAAAAAACACATCACCATAAAACCTATGCCGTATCTGCTTCGTATCTATTAATAAGTGTTTAGACGTAGATAATGATGTCTTCTTTTACTTTTAATTTATTCTAAGCTAGATACTTTGTTACGAATCTTGAATGTCATTGAACAAGTACCTAGTAAATCCTGAAGACATTAAATAACAACAATTTTACATAAATTGAATTGTAGACAAGCCGGGTTAGTTTTTTTGTCATGTAAGTGGTACGAATGAGATTTCGTTTTGATTCACAATAATTGTTTTACAGATAATATTATTATAATTAATTGTCTATGCATTGTACATTTATATCGCAGTCGGGATCGGCTTCTATAAATGGGATCCCTATCTACTACAATTATATTATCTCAGTTATTAATGAGCACACACAACGCAATAAATAATTAGAGAATTTCAGAATTAATTTTTTTCGCGGTGTTAAATAGTAATATTTTGTTAACAAATTTTGATTAGGTCTTGATAACGTTAAAATCATAAAGTAAAAAATAATGGAACACAGTTAACGTTTCTAAAGATAATGAAACTTAGATGTGATGTATTAATATAAAAATTCTTAGGTATGCGTTTTAATATGTGATTTACAATACCAACATTTATAGTTAAATGTATACTACTGGAAAAGTAATAAACAAAACGACAAATTTTGTTTTACAAATGTATTAAGCTGCCTCTATACCGGTGTATATATGGTCGAAAACAACTTATTCTACTTCAAACATACTGTTCCTACTTCCTAAGAATACTCAGGTTTAAGTTTTAAAAACATACTTGAATTCTTCCTAACATTTTCAAGGCATCGATCGTAGCATAATTTTAAATTATCTTTTGTTTATTAATTATTTTAGTTTAAAAGATCGATGACTTGAAAATGTTATTAAGCATTCAAATGTTTTTTTCAAATTTCTTAGTATTTTTAGGTAAGTTCTGTTTGAAGTAGAAACATAATATGTTTTTGTACAAAAGTAGATCTAATATGCATTATTAAAGTAAAAAAAAAAATTAACTCTTCTGTCCTATGGTAATATGTACGTTTAAAAATGTTGGCTTAATGTTATATTAGTGAGAAATTGCCTATACAATACGCCTTAATATGTACTAGTGAAGAGGCAGTAACTATGTTAAAGCATAATCTCACATTTTTTTATCTTTGTATTGGGAAGTTTTTTGTTGAGTCATACATTTTTATCTCACGTGATTATTTTTATAATTGTTTATAATAATTCAAAAAGTAGTTGAACCTATTAAGACTTACCAGTTTTTTTAAGTAGAATGTGTTTTTGTTGTGATCACAAGCAAAACGCCCATAAATATATATTATTCACATACTAGCAAACTTAAGTGAATATTGAGTTATCTACTTTGATTTTTTTAAGGGTGTACGATTTTTTATAGTAACAATTTTATTTCTATTATAGTACAATAATAATACATTTTTTTCTTAAAATAGTGAACAGATATTTTTAAAAATAAGGTTATTTAAAATGATTATATATTGTATACAAACATCAATAAAAACGAATAACCTAATTTAATTTACTTAGTTACCACATTTTTTAGTGTACCACATTTTCCAACGATTTTGCGTATGAAAGCTAATGGCATATAAGTGTGGTTTGTGATAAATTATTATTTTTGATGTAATATGAAACTAAAACTTTTTTTAAAAAAATACAATTGTGTCTAAAATATTTATATTTTTTCAATTATAAATTTATATATTAGAATAAAATATTAATAATATTTGAGTAGTAACCAACACGTCTGCCTTAAGATTAGTAGGATATTTGAAACTGACTAATAAAAATGATGGAAAATAGTAAAAATTTTATAAATTTACGTTATGGTAGTCATATATTAGTTATGGAAGTTAACATATATTTAACTTCTAATAAAAGTTCCTCTTTAATGTACCAATAAATGTAAACAATAGTTTTAATTTGAAATGAAATAATTTCCTGTACCAAAATATTATTATGTAGTAAATGTTTTATATTTTCTCGTGGATTTATGATGTAATTTGACATTTTGATTGGTTATAATTTATAACTAATCAATCATTTTTCTTCTTGTAACTTCCTCCAACACTGACGATGCAAACAAAAACATATTAATTTGGTTTGTAGTTATTAATAAACTAGGTATTGTAAAGTGTAAAATAAGTGGTTTAATTACTTATCTTAGTAAATTTTAAGTTAAATTGTTTTAAATAAACATGGGGCGAAATGGTGGCTCGGTTTATTAACTACTTTTTTGGTTTATTTATTTTTGCGAGTAATATATTATCACATAATATATTTAATTTAATTTAATAGATTTTAATTATTTTGTGACACTAAACTGCATACTCAGTTCAGTGTTTTGTGGTGGTACAAACCAAGCTAACCCTATTTAAAGAATATTATAACACTTCTTAGAATTTTTTTATCGCATATAACCATCGTCCATCGTGCAAACGATGCGTTTTAGCACGTTATCGAACCGAACCTTTGATTATAAATTAAATGTCATTAGTTGTTACATCAATATCATGTTATGTTAAATATGTCAAATAATTTAAGTATATAACATGTGTACAGTTATACATACATTTGTGTGCAGCTAGAAAAATTTACTATTTTATTATATAAATTATAATATAACATGACAAATGTACATATTATATCATTTGTACTGAATTAGAACCACAGCCAGTCGTACTTAGATAAAACGATTCTAATAATGCTTACCTCATAAACTCGGTACGGTTATAAATTATAATGTTCTACAAATAATAACTTAAGTAACCAAACTGCAAACAGTTGCGACAATTATTATTTTTTTTCAGCAAATCTAAAATGCCTTGACATAAATTAGGTATACAATTGTAAGTACGTAGATTGGATACATTAGATGAAGGTCTTCAGACATAGAATTATTAGCATTTTCAATTAATAGCAATTTGTAGTGATTAAATGAATCTACATATTTTTTAATGTAATTAGTTTTTTGCTTTAATTTTTCCCAACCAGTATAATCTCAGACAAGCAATTTATTTTAATGATCGTAATGTCTGTATTTGACTGTTTAGCTAATAACTAGAGCAAATAATAGAAGAGCAGCAATGTTACCATCAATCAGCGCATACAACAGACTGAACTCAGTCTGATATATCTCACTTAGAATGATAAAATATAGAGTATTATTTTGGTGGTTAAGGGTTTATATAATATTTTATTTATTTACCAAATAATGGAAGTTTAGAAAAATCCCAAATTTTCGAAACAAGTAGATTTCATATAAATGTGTTAAAACTTCATGAATTTAATTATTCATTTGATAACTTTCAGATGTATTTATGTCTTTATTTATGTGCTGACGTATTGGACTCTACAATGAGAATTACATCCGAAAGTTATTTTTTTTTTTATGTAGACCTTTGATCACTGAAACCTATTTTCTAATGTATAGAGAAAAACTTTATTAATTGGGTGGCATTTTTATTATTTTGATATCTATACTTAATATTTTTTTGTTAAAACCATGCTGCGGCCCGATACCCACCCATTTTTTTCGAAAAATTGGCTATACTTTACTCCTTAGAAATGGCCTGTGTAGCGTCCTCTTAACTATGATAATAGTTATATTTATTTTAATTAATGAATGGTCGGGTAGGAGTGAACCTAATACTATAAATTAATAGTATTAGACTTTGAGTTAAATTAATGAAATGGAAGGATGACCAGATAGTATATTTATGTTTGTGAATCTTATTGGAAAAATGTGTGTTAATTGTTTTTTTCATAAAAAAAAGTTGATTTCAGCTCAACATTTTTAATCTATCATAATCAGATTATCATTTCACCAATGACTCTTAAGAGGACGCCACACCGGCCATTTCTAAGGAGTAAGGTATAGGCAATTTTCGAAAAATTTTTATTTAGAGTTTGAACTATTATGCATACTTATAAATACAGTAATGAGGATACGTTGTTGATTGCCTTTTTTTTTGTCAGACTATCACAGTCATTTCTATAGGATAAATTACAATTTTTTCCCTTCAAAACTTTTTTGCGCGAATTAATTTTTCTCAGGCTTCATATATAGTTAAGGAAATAAATTCATACATATTATTTATGACAAAATTATCTGTGTTCCATCATCCGTATTTTTTCGATCTACCTAATACAACCAACGCTATATCATTTTTAAAAAAGCCCTTTCTTAATTAATTAATTATCATTCACTGGTTAAAATATTAAAAAAAGGGCGATGGTAAAACACAGACAATGTTGTTGTCTATATTATGTAAAAATTTGGTTTCTTAGTTTTGATTATAGCCTTTGTAAAATTAATCCGCGCAAGGCGGGTTACTCGAAGAAAATAACGGGTGTGTGACGTCCTCTTAACATTAACAACTTAGAATTCAATAATATATCACATTACATAATGATGATGTTTAAATTTAGCAAACAAATAAAATAGACACACGATATAGCACAGAAAAACAAACTTATTATTATAAGAATTTAAATCATAATTCATCATGTGTAACATGTATTCATAACAGGTAGTCATATTTTTACAAGGTCTTCTGTAGCGAGGTTATGTGTTCGGAAGAAGCTGAGGCTGTATCCCCTCCTTCCTGGCTGTATCTGCTAGGTAATAATCATTATTAATCGTATTTCTATGATTTTTAAATGTATTATTTTTATACTATCATCGTCAAATTAGCCATGGTCATATAAATTATGATTTGTTTAGTGTTTACACCCGTGTAGTCATAGTTAACTGTTCCTTACATCATCGAGCGTTTATTACATAAACAAAAATAAATATTATAGTAATACTCATAACAATATTATATTGTTATGAATAAAATAGGTTCATACAAATTTATGATTGACGGTATGCCTTGGGTATAAATGATCATTATAAGTAATGCAATGTTATAGCTATTTTTCGACTATTAAACTTTAATGCAGTCATCATTTTTATTGTATTTCTAGGTTTACAATAAGGAAATTTGAATATTTTGACTAGTATTGTGTTGGGAACACAATGCATGAGAAGAGTGCGTAATTCAAGTGAGTATCTTGTTTAATGAGAAATCCCTGATCACAGATAGTTCTTCGTAATCGTAAATTATTTGCGCTGGAAAACCCACACATAATTTGGCATCCTGTGTGATCTTTGATGTACAGTGGGTAAAAATAGTAATGACACGTGGTGTTTTTTGGTCTTTCCATCATCATCATCATCATTATCATGTAGCTTAACGGGCCATGAAGGCCCAACGCTGCCATCATGAGATGGTTTCTTGACGAATTCGCTTCCGGGACGGGTCGTCAATCCGTTGGTCTTTCCACCTAAATTAACTATTTTTATTTAATTAAATAACAGCTGTATATTATAATATTAATTGATGTGTAAAATGTTGACAAAAAAATTCAACCTGAGATATTTAAATAATAATAATCATCATAGTAATCAATAAAGTATTGATACAATTTAAAAAAAAATTCAGTTAATTTTTAAAATATGAAAATTAATGTTTCATATAACTTTTAATATTTTGTATGTCTCCCATTAGCTTTAATTACTGCTTCTAGTCTACGAGAAAAACAATGTTTAGTTTTGTTGGCTGAGTGCTTCGGATCATTATCCCGCTAAAAAATACATATATATATATATATACATTGGCATTTATAATACCTTAAAAAATGAAGATGTCCAACTCCAGCGTTGGACGTGCAATCCCTAACTAAAACACTGCCACCACCATGTTTAACTGTAGGTTCAATGTTTTGGCTTAAAAAGGCTCTGTTTTAATTGTCTCCTTACATATTGACACCCATCCCTACCAAAAACATTTTTCAGTGATCAAAAGGGTTTTCCTTTATGCTCTTCCAAAGAAATTAAATTTATGCAACACATTCCTGTTTGCACGTGTTGTACGTGTTGTTTGTACTTGAAATGTTTTTTTTCGTTGATTGAGCAATATGAGCGGCTAATTTTGGAGTACTGGTAGTAGGATTTTTCCGAATTTCATTCAGAATTACAGAATTAAGACCTCAAGAGACAAGTATAAAAACGATTAAACCGGTGTGTCAATACATCATTAATTAATACATCATTACACTAATTCATGAAACTCAAATTCTAGTACATTCAATGCCTGTAGACTAGAAGTAGTAATTAAAGCTAATTGGAGACACACAAAATATTAAAAGTGATATAAAGCATTAATTTTCATATTTTAAAAATTCTTTTTCGATTGTGTCAATACTTTAATGATTAGATACTAATTTATGATTATTGTTATTATTATTATTATTGAGATCTCTCAACTTGATTTTTCTTTTTTGACAACATAAAAAAAAAATTATACAGCAATTAATATTATAATATACGGCTGTAATTAAATAACTGTGATTCCTTTAGTTGGAAATTCCGAAAAACACGATGTGTCAATATTTTTTTTACCCACTGTTTTTTTAATTTTTTTAGTTTTGAAAAATATTTATTATTGATTTTTTTTATGAAAAGGTAATACTTATTTTTGCGTGTGCATTTTTTTTATTGATTTAAAAACAAACATTAATTCTAATTAACTTTTAACTTACTGAACTGCACATTACACATTGCAGCAATAACTTATTGCATCATAGTGAATATGGTAATTTTAGAATGACTACTAAATGTAGATTCTAAATAGGAGACCATTAGAACGCCCACGCGGGGGTATATATAAGATGGAAGGAACAGTAGACCTAATAGTCGTTGTTACTACCTATAGGATAGTTATTTATAAATAAACCTACAAAAATGAACGCTCTATTAAAACAGGTAAACACAAATTATAAATCATTTAGTGCAAAAGCTTATATAGTTATAATATGTTTTAAGTAAATTACTAACATAGTATATGTTTTTTAGAGATTATTTATCATCTTGAAATTGTATTACATTGGACAGGGTGAACTCCAAAAACATATTTGTTAAACTATTATAATAATATAGCCTCGGAGTAGGATATCTATTTATAGGTTGGTAGATTTTGTATAATAGATAATAAATAGTGTAACGTTGTAATATTTTAATGTATAAAACATTATTTTAAATGTTTATGGACTGATGTCAGCTTATCATAGTTAAACAATTTTTAAAAAAATATTTCTAATTATTGTGGGTACAAACTTTTTATAACTTTTTTTGACTAATAAACTAAGCCAATCACAATTACCAAATATTAATAATGTAATTTAAGTATTAGACGGTTGTCCTATCTTCGACTTAGCCCATTTAGGGAATTGAGTCAATAGCTAATAATTTCTATTAATTATTGCTTTAAAATTTTCTATAAGTGATATTTGAATAAAGATTATTTGTTTTTTAGACATATATTAGACTGTAAAGTTATAGCACAAAAATAAATGTATTCTAAATTATACTCTCTCACACTTTAATGTAATTATAAGTTCTTGTTTCTGTATCGAATTTACTTATTATACTAATGTATAAATTATAAATACAATTTTTAAAAAAAATAAAAAATAAAGTTTTTTTTATGGTGATTACACATTGTAGCACAAAAAAAAGTTAAAACTGTATTTTGATGAATAATAACTTGTGAAAACTTTTTTTTTCAGGTATCAGACCTATTAACTAATACATACTTAAATAACACTATCGTTACACCTATAGCGATAATATTATTTTTAGTAGTTGTATATTCAAAAATAGTAAACCTGAGAAAGACAAAATTGGCAAATCGAATACCAGGTCCTGATGGACTTTTTTTCGTGGGTATGTTACCTCTTTTGCTCGAAGGACCCGAAAAACTATTGACGAATGCTTTAAAAATATTTAGAGAGTAAGTACGGTGTATTCATTCACGCCTCGCTATTACTTTTATGTACTGTTTTAGTATTCTCTATTCTACGATGGTAACAAATATTTATTCATCGTCTGTGCAATATAGATACGAGAAATCGTTATTCAAAGTATGGGTTTTGGACAATTTATACATATGTCTTACCAAACCTGAAGATGTAGAAACGGTCCTTACCAATTCTAATTTGTTCAAAAAATCTAAAGAGTATAAAGTAGTCAGCGAATCAATTTTAGGCGATGGAATATTTTCAAATACCAATTTTGATGAATGGAAAAAGAACAGGTAAACTTTTGTTACATTCTTCATTTATCATTATAAAATATAATAAAGTAAAAATCAAACACCGAACTTCGTGAAATAATAATATATAGTGTCAATAATAAGTAATAACGCGTTAAAAACAAATGGAAACTCGGTGTTTCATTTTGAAATGTTAACAAATCAGTTTTTGTCGCCAATAATTATTAAAATGCCGTCTTGGAAATACTAACAGATACAATTTTTTTTTTTACTTTGATATAATATTTTATAGAAAATTGGTAGCTGCGGGGTTTAAATTTTCGATTGTCAAATCGTTTATACCGATATTTAACGAGGAAGCAAAAATATTGAGCGAACTACTGTACGAGAAACGGGACATCGATTTAAATGATTGTGAAATAAGTGATGCAATCGGTATGGCCACTATGGAGATGATCGGAAGAACCGCTTTGGGAGTGAAATTCGATGCACAGAAAAACGCCAATCACGTATTTATAGAGAATTTACACGTCGTTCAAAAGGTATACTTCGCAAAGGACATTACCGATAATGTTTTTGAGCTAGTATGGCAGTTTTTTGTAATAAAAAAAAATTGTTGTTTAGGTTTGGGAATACCGATTTACACACCCGTGGTTCCTGAGAACGAGTTTGTTTCACTTGTCGTCGTTCAAACGTAAACACGACGTTAGTCAACGTAAAATTTACGATTTCACTAAAGATTTAATTGAAAAAAAACATGCAGAATTGAAAAGTAATGTAAACAATCAAGGAGAACACAACGAAGAAAGTATCGGTTTTAAGCCTAAATCGCTTATTGAGATACTGCTCGAGAATGGACATTTGATGTCATTTAACCAAATACGGGATGAAATCATAACTGTTATGTTTGGTAAATGTTTTTGTCTTTTTTTAATAATACTTTTCGGAGTGAATCGGTGGCAGGTATATTATAAAGAGAACCTTAAAATGTTTTAATGTCTTGTTCAGTTTTAGTCTTATTGTGCCATTATTAAATTTCAAAAATTGATCTTGTTTTTTTTAATAACCATATATTTCCTGAATATTTTATTTTAATAACATCAAATGTTTTATACAGGATGTTCATTTAACAAGAAATTAAATTTTTTTTTCCATTTTTTACAATTTTGTTTTGGTTTTTATCCCCCTCTCAACTTAGTTTTTTTGATAGCAACTTTTGAAACTTAAATTGTAACGTATACACTTGATTAACTATTTTAATTGAGAATAATGTACTAACATTTTTGACTAGTTGATAACCAGTATTAAACAACTCTTTTTAAAGGTATAAAAATGTTTAAATTTTAGGTTGGCGCTCAGATAAAAATAATACTACACTCCACACTTCTCCTGCCTTAATCTTAAAACTTCATTAACTTAAAAATACTTGTTCAAAACTGGTTATTGACCAGTTAAAATTGTTAGTAAATTATTCTCAATTAAAAAATGTAATAAAATGTATACAATACCATTTAAGTTCCAAAAGTTAGTATCAAACAAAAACTATGTTGGAAAGGGAATATAACAAAAATTGTTTTGAAAATTAAGATCACATTGTATAAAAACATTATGAAAAAAAAATTACATTTGTTCACGATAAATTGATCACCCTATATATATACATTATTAGTGATTTTTTTATCATAAGTTAATCAATATCTCATAGGGCTTAATAAGAAATACATTTTTTTTTTCATATTGCTTTCATACAATGTGATCGCAATTGTTCACAATTTTTTTTGTTTTTACCCCCCTCCCATCTTATTTTTTTTGATAGCAACTTTAGAAACGTACATATTTTATTAACTTATTAAATTGAGCATAATGTACTAAACATGTTGACTGGTTGATAACCAGTTTCGGATAACAATTTTTGATGCTATTGAAGTTTCAAGTTTAGGGCAGGAGGAAAGGTGGAGTGTAATATTATTTTTATCTGCGCGCATTTCCCAACCGCACTTCCCCTCCCATCCTAACTTTTAAACTCTTATAACCTTAAAAATAGTAATCCAAAACTGGTTATCGACCAGTCAACATTTTTAGTATATTATTCTCAATTTAAAAAGTTAATAAAATATATACGTTACCATTTAAGTTTCTGAAGTTGCTATCAAAAAAACTAAGGGAGGGGGGAAAAAACAAAAAAAAAATTGTGAAAAACTCGTTTAGCCCAAAATTGACATTGGCCCTTTTAGACTCAAGCCACAGATAAATAAGCAGGGATTGAAAACGTTTCCAATCAATTAACATTTTTTATTATAACTAGAACAAATTAATTTGACAGATTAAAATTATTGACAGTATGGTAGTCATATAGCTTAACTGATTTTAAATTTGTTAATAAAAAACATTTTAAAAATAACTTATGCCTTTTGGAAGGAAATGTTTGTATTGTTCCAAAATGTAATTTTAATAGTTTTTATTACTTTTTTGCTTTTAAAAGTTGCAAATAAGTTGAGGTTGAGTAAAATTTGATTTTAGGAGGTCAAGACACGACAGCTATGGCGAATGCGTGTACAATATTTATGTTGGCTCATCATCAAGATATACAAAATAAAGTAAACTATAACTCATAGACACTTTTATACATATTAATATAACACATTATATAAGGGCAATTTGGTAACGAATAAAATTATTTATTTTTATTTCTTCCTATTGATAGGTGTTTGAAGAGTTATGGTCAATATTATCTTCTGGTGATTCGGATCGACAACTTTCCTATGATGATTTACAAAGTATGGATTACTTAGAATGTGTAATCAAAGAGACGCTGAGACTTTTTTGCATCGTTCCTTTTCTCACCAAAGACATCGAAAAGGAAGTTGTTATTGGAGACTATTCAATCCCTGCTGGTACGACGATAAACAAATTTGTTTGACAAATTGTTACGCTTGATGCTTTAAGTTACAATATTAATTAGTTTCAAAAAATGTCTACAGGTTCAACGCTCGCAATTTTCACTGCTCACTTACACTTAAACCCACAAATTTACCCAGAACCAGAAAAGTTCAATCCGGACAACTTCTTGCCCGAAGCAAGTCGTAATCGCCATCCGTATTCGTTTATTCCTTTCAGTGCTGGTTACAGGAACTGCATTGGTATCAAATATGCAATGCTCCAAATGAAAACTACCATATCCACATTAGTCAGGTCTTATCGTTTTCATCCGTCCGATAAGTGTCCCAAACCAGAAAATCTTCGTTTCATGTTTGCGGGGACGTTAAAGTTTGTCAACGGCTGTTACGTTAAAATAGAGCCGAGAACGTAATCAATTGGAGTTTAGTCGATAAATTAATTTAAACATTATCCTTAATTAATATTTTTAAGTATATAATAATATTATGTACTACGTTTTTAAAATATTGTCTTACAAGAGGAAGTTATAAAAGCGCTCTATACCAATAACTAATTTGTTTACAAACTTATAGTATATGTTTTTTGACGAAACTTTTTGTTGATACAAAAAGTACATTTGTATTGCTAGATTCCTTAAACGGAATAAAAATGATGGTTAAGCATTTGTCCACAATTCTGTAAAGAGATTCAAGTTCTTTGTCTACTTTACTATGACACATTTTTGACTTTTTGCTGTTTTAACACAATACAATTGCGCTTTAATATTGCAAAAATTGCAAGTTTAATTTATTTAATTACAAGAAACTAACATTTTTAAATGAAAATTGGATTCCTACATAACATATTTAAGTAACCAAAGCACTCAAATATCTTTACAGAATTGGAATTGTACCATCTTATGAAGTCGACATTTCGTATGGCTTTTTAAAACGCCTTTTTTTCTTAAATATGGCCTATACAAAGCTCCTTAAAAGCAGACCGCATGCAATCTCCTAAATAAGAACTCTCGTTCTTCTGATAATTCGCTTTAGTTTTTATACTGTATTTTATATAAAGATATGATAATTATACTACTCTTATAAATGTATTAATTTATTTTTTATTAAAAAAGAAATGTAAAAAAAAATATGAGTTCCTTTTTATTAAATTCCTCAATAACTAGTGTTTATTATGTTTCAACTAACAAATAACAAATACAATATTTTAGTGTAAGATGTACTATTCTTAAATCTTAAGGAGTTCAAACAATACATAAACAGCTAGATTAAGAACACAAATGATACTACTAACAAATATTCAAAAACGGTTAATAGTGACTATAATTATATTAATTATTCACTACGGATACTTCAAAGTTGAATTTTTGTAATTATTATGTGTTCAATTCACCATTATGGACAATCCAGTGTGTTGTTTTGGTTAATGGCTTCGTTGGTTACGCTATTGAATTGTACCAATACAATCTCGTATGTAACAATAGTTCCAGCAACCTTTAAGTAATCCAACATAATATAACAAATTAATTTAATGTTCACTTTTAAATATATTATAATGTTCACTATTAGATGGAATAGTAACACATACTAAAAATCTTGTGAACAAATTAAACTCAAAGGTAATATTATATTAAACTGTAAAATGTATTTTAAACAAACCGTTAACATTAGTGTTCTAGTGACTGAAAAAAACCGACACCCAGTCAATGCTAGTTCGTCGGATGTCACCTGGGTTAAGAACCTTGCTACCTGCAATAAAACAATTTGTAGGAAAGGTACTTAAAGTACAACGAAGGTCACTGATACGAACTGACCTCTACGCCATAACTTTCTGTTGGCACTGAAAAAAGAACATTTCTTGGTTGTTTGCTCTGGTCGTTTATCGAGGCCGCGCATAAGGAAACGGCACATGTTCTACCGACCAAATAACTAAACGAATACACAAAGTACAACGCTTCCCAAATATTGTGCATAGGTCTATGAATTAGTACATACATACATACATAGACCGAGTTAGAATTATAATGAAACAAAAAAATACAATATATAATTGTTTTTTTCTTTACTTTAAACTGTTCAATAGCTGAAGACAAATGAAGTATAGGTTATTGGCGAAAGATAATAGAATCACTGGTGATAGAAAATCGTCGAAATCTCGAGTCAATGACGCCAAGAGATTATATGTTTCTCTCGATTTCCGCCAATATGTGCTTGGGAGAACCTATTAAAGTCGATACAATGTTATGTTATAATGCAATAATTGCAATTTAATTGAAACTAGTGTACGTATTACGATTTTTTGAGGTACTACCCTATGGTCAACTTTAACGTAATTACCTTCCCTTTGACAGCAGATAAACGACGATTTAATTGTTTGAATCTGTCAGAAAGACCACACGATAGTATAATAATAAACAAATCCATGAAGTTCCAAGCACAGGCAATTATAAGATTTAAAAATCCAACGGGCAAAGCTATTACCCATGAAAATTCGACCACGCTAAAGACTTGACTAAATGACATAGCAAAATAAGTTCGAAAAATATCCAGTCCGCCGGTAGAGCAAGGAATAGCCTTGACTATTCCTTTTAGAATGGCAGATAAATGTTCGACTACGAGAAAAAACAAAAATAATACTTGATCATTGAAAATATAAATGGAAAAATGACTGGCTTTTTAAGTACGTTTCTTTATTAAGTGTATGTGATTTTGCAAAATTAGTTGATCGGTGCCGTTTATTTTTCATTCGATTTAATTCTTTAACGTATTTATTTTTTTTGTAGCCGAATGAGATGAGTTTTAAGTACCCAACAAAGAAACGTTAAATTACACTATTGTATCAGGAGACAATTACGCATATATGTTAGTCATTTTAATTTTAATAATTACTTTGAATAAAAAAAAAATTGTAACTTGAAATAAGACGTAACCCATTTAAAATTGAAGTAGTCACTTTTGAAATGTATTATTATTAAATAAAAAACCCTATGCCCAAAAATATTCCTGTATGACGTAATTGCTACTATACATAAAGAAGATGTATTGTCTGCGTGTCCCTCAGTCTGCGGTTAGCACTGAGAGATGACAACATAGTCGCCGGATAGGCTTTTTTCATTTAATAATGTAACTTACTTATTGCCAGAACCATGATAACGCCTGATAATAATTTAAATTTTAACGCGGTATGACGGGGGTGTCCAAATTGTCTCATTTCCCTCTCTGCCAGTTCCCACTTTTTCATCACTTTTGGCCATCCTCTAGCCAGTTTTATGAAAATAATGTAAATAACTAGCGAGCTTCCGAAGAATACAATTTCAACTAAAAACAGTAAAAACCATTGGATATATATATATATTTGAAATATTCAAACATGTTTTGCTCTAAATAAATATTATCAAATCGGTTATGAAGAATATGAACGACTGTTCAAATAAATTATTTAATACATTTTACCTGTACTATAATATGTCAAGCCCGTCTTGTACACTTTGTATAAAGATAGACTTGTGATTAAGAATGACGATGCAAGAACTATCAAAACGTATATTACCGACCAACTGAACCAGTCGAAACTAAAAACATATTGCATGAACCATTGAATTAGAAATCATAAACTGGTGACATTTAAATATTTTAACAACGTAGGTACTAGGTGCTTATAAATTATTTTTGGAAAAACAAAATTAGATTATTGATGTCAGCTATTCCGATAGCCTATGCCAATATGAAGCAAATTATAATAGTTTTGGGAAAGTAAAACCTGACTAATTTCGCATTAAAAATATTAACTTAAGTAACTTAATGTTAATCTTAGTATTAAATGACTTACACTAAATAACTGGTATTTCGACTTCTTATACCTTGTACAGGCAGTAAAGCGAAAAATCTAGCAAGCATTAATACCGGAGTGATTGACCTATGCATCGAATTCTTATCGCTAACTATATCCTTCCGAATGTTTTCTTCGAGTGTTTTTATTTTCCTATAATTATGTATTTGATTACCCAATATATTTTCGTCGATTTCAACACCTAAAAAAAATAATATAATTATAAATAATCGTTGTTAAATGATTGACACATTCAGACTTCACGCATTATAATTAGTGATGGGAAAATCCCAATTGATCGAATTGATCTAGATCGGACGGATTATTCAGATTTTATTTCAGTAAAAAAAAAAAAAATAATAATTAATTGATTCGATTAAGGGTGGGTTTGAAAAAAATTCGGAATTATAACTTTTAAATTCCGTATTATGGTACACCGTATAACAGATTTATATCGAATATTTTTTTCACAGTGATTTTATTACCTCTAAGTAATAAGAGCTATATAACGCCGCTTTACGGGTTTCTTTTTTTCAATGAAATCGATTTTTATATTAGGCTTTATCATACTATTTAACAAACGCAATTCAGAATTTTATACTTGTATTTCCATCATCCTTCGGCTGAAATGCACTATTGACGTTCCACGAGTTTTCTGACATGCGTTCATATGTTTTGTTTTCGGTAAAATTGCGGTTTTTCAAGTATACTGGTCCCAAATTCACATTTTTATCGGCCATGTTCTGTTGCAAAACACAACGTAACTACAGAAAATTAAATACAAAACTCATCGCAACATAATTTTCGTACTCGATTGACGTGTTGCTAAAAAACATTGAAATAAGTGCTTCCTGATATTATCACAGTAAACACTAAAACAGTAAAAACTACTCATTATTAATACATAACGCGGTTACTATGGACGTTGCGTGACCACTTTATTATATATTATTATCGCTGATGTCGATCGTTCGATGATGGGTTGCAATCTACAACTTGATCCAAACCTTTAAACTTTCTTTTAGTACATATTTTTCTGTATCATTAATACGCAACTTAGCGTTCCGTGTTAAAATTCGGTTACACTCAATTTGTGCGTATGGACCTCTGGTCGGCAGAAGTTGATAAAGTTGATTTGGAGAAAAGCTCCAAAACATTTGCAAACTTAAATGTGCCATAATTTAGACTCTCTTTTTTTTTTTTGCTACAAAGGTGTACAAAGTCTTATAATTATCCTAAAATCAGTATTCAAACATTATTAAGGAACATTAAAAAAGGAGGGAAATTACACTCCGTCTGTGTACAATTTTTAGGTTGCTATGTGTGAATAGGAATCACCAGACATCCTGTTGACTTGTGATATCCCCTGACCCAATATGCTCCGACCCCACTACGCCTCGATCCCACATTGTTTTTTTTGTATTTGTAATATTATTTTGTTCAAAATATTGCTTTAACAATGATTTTTATCGAATTTAAAATACGTAAATTAAAAAAAAAAACTATTAAACAATTATTTGTTTTCATTTTTAAGTAGGTACATCATAAAACTAATTTACAAACTCTAATGCGCGCTTTTATATGATTTAATTTAATTTTAGTAGTAAGTACATTATTGAAATGTTTTAAGTACTATGCAGTTCCACCTAAAGTTGTTATAAAGATCACAAACTTTAACTTAATGTTTTTAATTTATGGCACAATATAAAAAAAATGTTGGAATCTAATAGTAAACCAACTCTAATACACGTATACTGTATTGGCGAAATATTAAAAAGAAAATATGAGTTCCTATTAATAATTTATTTATAGATATATAAACATTAAATTATGCGTTTGTATGGAATTTTATTCGTTTTTAATTAAATAAGAATAATACAATTAATAATATAATAATGTATTTAATACAACTAAATCTAGTTAATAATAAATAATAATAACAATGGTAAAGGGTTGAAATAAAATTAGTATAAATAATATTTAAAAAATTTAAATGACAGAAATAAAGATTTACTAAAAAGTTTTTAGGTTTTTTATCATTTTGCTTAAACGTACATAAATATCTAAGAAAATTAAATACTATTACAAATACTGAAGATTAAATACATAATACATATACATAATAAATAATAATTTTAAAACAAGATGAGAATTGTCTAAAGTTAAAACAATGCACCTAAAAAGAAAATATGTATTTTGTACAATAAAGTATATAAAAAAAATTACGTTTCGAATTAAAGCGATATTAAAAAAAAAATATTGTGTAAAATCGAAGAATGTACATGCTATTCATAGGGACATTTAATCCAAATATCAACAATTCTTTGTTAAATGATCACAGTAGCGACATTAGTGATGATACACATTGAAGACCTTGAACCCAGACATCTCCAACTGTTTCAATTTTTCAGAACGATCAAAAGATAATTCTTTATAAAATTTGGCGAGAGAAAATGCGTTTTGTATTATTTGACTTTACTGTTTGTCGCTGTAAAAAATTGTAGACCTTTTTCCATAGACATATTTTCAAGATTTCTATTTGTATAATAATGGACTTAATCTTATTGTAGTTCCAAGGTCTTCAATTGCAGTCGTAAATTAGACATACCTAATACCTATAATACTTCTAATAAAATATGTGGTACTATGAAATAAAAAAAAACTAATAAATAAAATTGTTTAATAGTTTTTGTAAAAATAAGAGATAGATTTTTCATTGAAAAAACAGTATCAAAAATACTGCCTAAAAAAAAAGTTACACTAAAATAATTTTTTTTTAGAACATTTGAATCAGAATTTTAAACGACTAGTACCTGTAAATTAGAAAATTCGAAATCTCATTTGATTGAGATTACAACTACTCAATAATAGATATTTAAATATATTTTTAATCGCAAAATCTAAATAACAATGTGGCAAAAAGATGATGTGACATTATTTTATTTTGACTTACGAAAAAACATATTTCATTTTGTAAAATTTCAAAGGTTACATAGAAAACAGAGACAACCATAATAACAGATAAAACGATCATTAAAACCGAGTACATAAAAGGCACTTACTTAGACCCAAGATAAAAGATTGCTTTACAAATTTACCGAGTTGAACATTGGTCATTTGATATAGTTAACTAACATTTTGTACAAAACAAGAAATACAATTATCATTTTAACAAATTCATTTGACAAAATAAAAAATTGTTAAAAGCTAATACAGTTTTGTTTTCATAACATAGATAATTTAAATACCGTAAACACCATCTAATAAGAAGTAAAACAATCTTTTCAATATAAAAATTTAGTTTATAATTGCTTTTATAGTAATAAGTTTAGGTGTTGAGAGTGTTTTAAGTGAAATTTTTGAAAGACGTTATCGTTAGTACTTACTAGATGTCTTGTTAAATTGTTTTTAAAAAATAAATCGACGTTTGACTTCTGAGTTTTTACATATATAATATATTTAATAAATATATTCCTCTTTATAATCAGGGTTTCGATCAAATATTTATAAATAGTATTGTTTTAAATTCTACTAAATAAATTAGTTATTGTTCAATATAATCAAGGTCAAACCATATTTGTTTTAAGTCTTATCCCTATAATTTTTGACTTGTTAAGCATTCGAATATAAAAGAAATAAAATTTCATTGTTTTTGGCTTTTTTATACCATAAATATATTAAAAACATGTTTATAGTTGGACTAAAATTGTATTGATTGTTGTATTTTACAGAGTATCTAATTTACATTAATTAATTAATTAATTTTTTTTTTTTACTACATTGTACTACATTGTACTTCATTTATTTTTTAACTCAGTTTTGATGTTTACAGTTATCTAGTTCTAAAAAGGAAAAAAAATCTCACATAGATTTGGATTATAATTTACTATTTTAATATTTCATTAATTACAAATTTTAAATGTGTCTCATTTAATACACTTCTGACTAAAGAAATTGAAATGCATTTTGTTGAACAAATTGGTGTTTGTTTCAGTGAAATAAGTAAATCAACAAAGCGTCCATGCAAGATGCAGCATCTTTTAGAATTATCATTATAAATATTATTATATATTTATAATAACATATTATATATTTGTGCTCATCTTAATATTATCATTGCCATAAATTGGTCCCGATAAAAAAATAAACATTTTCTATAAAGAAAAAAAAATGATTAACTCTAATTTTGTCCATGATTGTTTTAATTTGTTTGGTCGATGTTCCCAGTACGACTGAAAGTTTTTGGGAAAAATGTAAGTGAGTTTTCACAAAATTAAATAATTAATCCTAACGAATTTGCCCCATTTGAAAAATAAGGAGTAGGCCAATAATTTTAAATCTACAGTTAATGGTTATTATATAATAACATAAATTGGTATAATCAATGGTATAATATTTTAAAAGTATTATTGCTAATTTGAACAACTAAACACATTATGTATAGAACGTATAAATATATTATATCACTTAACGATTATTTTGTAAAAAAGGGTATTCGATTAAAAGTATAGATTAGATAAAATCTAAGTACCTAATATCTATAAGCTCAATTTTATTTTATTACCTACGATAATAATATAATTTAATTGTGTTAAACTAAGAATTTAGAAAATTCGATTTCGTTAACCCTAATTCAATCACCAGTCATTTAAATTATTTGGTTTATCCTACAAAATGCGTATTGATCAAAAGGTTTAATAATAATCGTATATTTTTATTCGAAAAAGATTTCTTAAAACTTTTTTTTTGCTTAAAATATTAGTTCTGCTATGAAACAAATAATTAATAAGTAGGTAAAAGGTATATATAAAAATAGTTTTCAAGTTAATTATAAGATAATCATTCAATAATATAAACAATGTAAATATTGCTTTACTGTACAGCAGTCTAAAAGTATAATAATTCTCAACGGTTTTAATTGTATTAAATGAGGCGTAATAAAACACATTTTTTTTTATAAGTTTTTTTTTTAAGCCAATCATGTGGTCTGCATTTTGATATGATTATAGCCTGTTAAAATATAAAAAAGTTACAGTGTGTAAAATATTTGCAAACAGCAATTAGAAGCGTTGGAAGAGAAAACGGTCTGATGTAGTCTGTAGGGTAAATATTTATAGGAAGAGTAGACCAGTAGTAGTTTTGAAAATAATTCACACTTGTTCTTCCAAAGCTGGAAACTGTTGTCTGTGCGTTTGGACGTTTAATAAATACACCATTTGATCCAATTTCTTGTCCATTATAGTTAACTGAAATATAAGTTAAGGATAATAGATTTGTCAAACGCATAACACGCATTGTATTTCAGATTTAATTGAGGACTAAACAAAAATTGGAATTTTCCTTACCTGTTGTTCCAGTCTATACAAACGAGCACCAATCGTCATAGGCTTCACATTGCCCGATCTATCAATTCCTGCTAAGTAGCTGCCGGGCTTTCCGAGGGTTTGATCTAATCTCCTTTGTAATTCCTAAAATGTTGAAATGCATAATTATTTCAGATTATCTAACGTGGTTACCGGAAAAGTTATCCTGTAGTTTAATCTTGCTTAAAGTCTTAGATGACCGTTGTCATGGAAACGATTTAACGTGGAGTATGGTCTACATTAAGCACATACTTTCTGAATAGGTACTTAGGAATTAGGAATTTCTTTAAATAGAATTGGCTATCCAAATTAGCTCTCTCCGCAATCTCCTAATTGTCCCCGTTTCTTTATTCCCGCCATACATTTCTATGTATAACTGCCTCTTGTATTCGTCAACTTTTTTCAGGTCAACCTCTAGATTTGTCTATCAACCTGAACGTTTTCACTATTCCAATGTTTTCATCACCCATCACAATATATTTATACTTTCATGTTTTTCTGCTATTATCACAACTCGTAAATATTTCTCGTAATATACTCTTAAACGTTTAAATTATATCAAAATAATAATTTTTGATATCGTATTTTGTCATCATATTCTACTTAAAGTCCGTAATAAACTATTAAGGAGACTATATAAGATCTTACTTTTAAATCAGTAATAATTGATCAACCTTACCTTTATCCGAACCATCATATTTAAATGGCCTTGACTATACTGTTCAATAACATCGCGCACGTCGTAAGGTTTTCTCGCTTGTTGAAATTTCCTTCTGGCTACAAAATACTTAATTTTTCTGATAGCTCGAATAGCATTTCTGTGTACATCAGTCAGTCTGCAACAACAATGATATCATCATCATCATGTACATACGTTTGACAGGCCTTGAAGGCCCGACGCTGAAATCATGAGCTGGTTTCTTGACGAAGTCACTAGGGAAGGGCCGTCAGTTCGTTGTCTTAAAAGGGGGGGGGGAGGGTTGACGCGACGGCTCCTTTTCACTAAAGGGTTTTCCGCCCAGGAAATAGAACCGCCTGACCTAATGTCGAACCGATGACAGTGAGCGCTAGTCGCCAACACACTGTCGCTTTACCCCATCGGCGACTCGCCCTCCATAAATACATATATATGGAACACTTGAACAAAAACCAAAACCTACGTGGTAACTCGTTCTGGCTCCATTTCCAAGTCTACGTCATCGCTAGCGGCTTCAGTTGCAGAACTTGTTTGACTGACATACCTTCTAGATTCACGTCTGACCCGGTTTGGAGTGGCTGAAAGTAAATAAACAATTGTAAAACACATAATTGCATCGTTATAGTCTATATACGCGTGGAGCACTCCAATTATCACATACTTGCTTTAGGTTCTTCAATGTAGAATACCACTTCACCTTCGCTGTCCATCCTAGGGTTATGCGGCGGAGGTAAATTTTGAGCTTGTGAGCATTCTTTATTGCTATTAGCCGTGGACGTGCTTGGAGTTTCCATTTTATTTTTTGATCTCTTTCGTTTGAGAATACTTGCGCGTTTTGCAACTTGCATAATTAAAGACTGAAGAGACAATTTTATATTATCCTATGTTTTTGTTTATAATGTTCTCAAGCGTTTCACATACTTTACTTAACGACGAATTATCTTTGGGATGTCCCGGTTCTTTTATATAAATGTCCCAGGTAGCTTGACTATTGAAGCATTTGTCTGCCGCATAACATCTCCATAGACATTGTATAAGCATTGCTGCAGCTGGAATTTGTCGGTTGAAGTGTTTTTGGCGTTGCTTTTGTTGCACTTTTAATGCAAATCCTGAACCCAAAATTCCCTGAAAAATACCGAATAAAAATAACTTTTGTCTTTGCGCTCAAGTGTGTACATGATAGAATTATAAGTGTGAGTTATACTTTAAATTATACGCCCACAGTAATTATATTATGATTTAAGTACAATAATTTATAATAAAAAACATATCAGATGGTATAACGATACCGCTTGATCATGGTACTTAACTACCATGATAATTAATCATTAATACTAATTGTTAATAATAAATAACTATTTTAAGCATGAGCATGATCGTTGGTCTTTATTTAAAAAGTTTAATAATTCATTATAACTAAAAATAAATAATACATACAGTAACGCTATAATATTATAGAAATAGTGTCCAGACTCTAATGTATGGCTATGTACTGTTTTTTTTTTTTACGAAATTAAGTATCCCATTAGGTTGGTTATTGTGTTATTTTGACTTAATATTTTACCCCGAGTGCTTTCGGATCGAACGAGTCTCGTTTTCATTTTTTCGCCTCGTTAATTGTTATTTTCATTAAGCAATATTAATTTAGATCGTTGACCCTAGACTTTTTCACTAAAGACGTTAAATGGATCCATTGTTGGCATTGCCATTATGTGCTATTTTAACTGAGCAATTTCAAGCGAGACAGCGATATAAGGGATAATGGAAAAATATTAACTTCGGAGTCCGGACCTAGCCGTATTGTGCACACAATGTGCACGATTAATCTGTTAGAGTTCGTTAGCTTTTTAAAAATCGAATAGGTTTTATTTTTTCAAATAAAAATAAGCTAAAATAATAACGGAACGTTCAATACTTACAGCTGGCAGTGCGAAGAACGAAATTGCAAATACACTAAAACATGAAGCGACTATTTTCCCAATCCACGTTTGAGGCACTGCGTCACCATAACCTATCGTCGTTACAGTGATCTAAGACAAATAAAACCATGTTAAATTATAATGTAGTTGATAAAATTAACATAGGTATAACGGTTTCTATATTTTGACATTTGAACGTGTATAACGTATATTTAAATAATTGAATGTATACAGGGTGTTCCACAATGATTCGACAAATGAAATAACTTTTGTTCTAGTGAATATTTTTAAGATTTTTTTTTTTTAATAAATTTATACTCATTTGCGCTATAGCACCACGTTTTTTATTGCACTTAACTATTTTACTTTTTAAATTATGTTTTTATTTTTTTGTTACATTATTTTTTTTTTTAATTCAAGATAGCTTTTTATTAAGAATAATTTTCTGAAAATTTTGACTGGTCGATAACCAGACTTGGATAATTACTTTTTATGTTACTGAAGGTTAAAGAGTAGGATGGGAGGTGGCGTGCGGTAGAATAAGCGCGTAGAGCTATTTTTATCTAATTATGAATTAAACCCAGTGAGATATTGAATGGTTCATGATAAAAGAATCACCCTGTACATTGGTTTTATTGTACCTAAGTTAAAACTAAGAGTAATTTTAATATCACTCACTACTCCCCACCAGAGGGCGTCGGCGTAACTGGAAAATTCGTTTCTCGACTTGCCGTCCTTGCTCGGTGCATCCTTTTCGGCGAGGTAAACAAAATAGCTGCTAAATATTAAACCTAGAAATCCTATGTACAACGTAGTGATGAGCTCCTGAAAAAAAAGGAGAAGGTAACGACGATGTTTAGATAATATTATTTTTATTGCGTTTATAAAGGACGGAAAGTTCTAACCACTGGACGATAATGGCGGCGGCGAGCAAAAAATAGCAAACTTAAACAAACATGTTTCATCCTCAACTGAATGAAAATTGTGCTTCGAGAGCGTCTCTTATCTACGCCTTCCGTCAAATCGAATAACAACAATAGACATCCTATCAAAACCACCCCACATTTTATGTTGGCCGAATTTTGACACAGTTTCTCCTTGTGCATTCTCCCTTTCCACTTTGCCTCGCCGTCGCCATACACCTCCGTGTGTTCATACAACTCACGAGTTGCATATCAGACAATATTAGGCTATTGTGTGCCTTTGATTAAAGTTTTTTAATTAAAAACTTCCAATATCTAACAAACTTTAAATTATAATAGAAATCCGATACTTGTTTAACGTTCCAACCAAAATGTTTAAAGTATCAATCGGTAGCAATCGATACTTGTTAAAAATTTAAAGCTATCGTTGTACGTTATTGGATTACGTTATTTTTAACGTAACTACTATATATATATTATACTGATAGATATGATTATAACATATAATTTTTTATATTTTTTAAACATACTTGTCTGTGAATAAATACAACTGAGCCGAGAAGTCGCCACGTTCCACCTTGACGGTCCACGTGAAGCATTCTCAAAATTTGAAGAAACCTGATGCCTCTGATCGCTGAAGTGGCGAACACTTGTCCATTGGAGCCAATCGACAGCACTACAATCGACGCCACGACAACGATCAAATCTAAACGTATACAAAATACTAATATTATTACATTATTTTTTAATAAATAATATTATAGCGATCTTTGTTATTCATAAAACATATTTTAAACTTCAATGTATTACTTTTGTTAACGTATTTCTATTAGTTATGTTAACAACAACAAATAAATTACACATGTTGTTCATTATCCAAACTTCTTATGTTGTGCCAATGGTATTTTGAAAAACGTTTCGGTTTACACTTATACAAATCAGTGTAAGTGCTGTTAAATGAACCACCCAAAGTTGTTTAAACAAAAACCATCATCAAATAATTTATCTTCTTCTTCTTTTTTTTTTTTATTGGAAATATTTACAATCTGTATTAATAAGTACAATAAGTAAAAAGGCTAATTTTTATTTTATTTTACAAAGCTTGACTGCTTGAGTGAAGGTTAGGTTAGCGTTCAGTGACACTACTTCAGGGAAATAATTTATAGTAAAATTAATTTAACAAAAAACTATAAAATAAAATGTAGCGGAAACGGTAGGTACATTTTTTATAGTTCCTTACCGATAATGCAGATGGGCTTTCGGACAAATCTGAATCTTCCGAAGGTGCCCATGTATTTTGACCTGCAACCAGCCGACCATAACCGAATTAAGTATTCGACTCCAAAGAACACAACGAGGCATATTTCCTACAACAAAAATTAACAACTTTGTTATAACTTATAATCTAACTTTAATATAACTTAATAACTTTATTCTATAATATAACATAACTTTGTTATATTGTATGCGACGTTTCAATAAAACCATTACTATATATCATATAATGTATATGGAGCATTCTGATTTCTGAGTCAAACCACGCGGTCATCGGCCCGATCTCCTCAACATTTTTTGAAATTTTTTTTTTATAAACTTCTGTTGATCTTATGTAAGACCTTAATTTTTTGGAAATTTTATCACTCATATTTACCCTAAAAATATGGGTTTTTTTGTTATTTTTTACGAAAAATCAATTTCTACCCGTTCTAGGGCCATTCCCGTTATTAGACGAAAAGATCTGATTTCAGTTTCTGATTTTATGATCAAAATTTCAGAATAATTAAACGGGTTGAAATCGATTTTTTGTGAAAAATAACATAAAAACCTATATTTTAAGGGTAAATATGAGTGATAAAAATTTCAAAAAAATGAAGGTCTTATATTAGACCAAAAAAAATGTATAAAAAAAATTTCAAAAAATGTTGAGGAGGTCGGGCCGATGACCGCATGGTTTGACTAAAAATGCCTTGTAGGTAATATATTTATTGCACAATCTGATAATAATTATTTCACAACAAATTCAAGTGATATGGTAATTATAAGTAAGAATTTTAAGATATTTATTTGGCTAATACTCAGGCCATAACTTGAACGTGAAACTACACAGATTCAAAATTCCTTAGATTTTTCCAAGAATAATAGTAGTTATCAGAAAAATGGTAATCGCAAAATAAATTATAAGTAAATGAAACGGCTGAGAATATAATTTCCCCCAGTTGTCTATTTCATGTACTTACATTCTATGAACTATGTTTAAGAACATATAACACATATTAAGGTGACTTTCATTCGAGCGGGAAAGATAAGTATAGTGTTTATAATTTCACTATACTAGCATTTGATAGGTATCTGATTATTTAAAAAATAATGCAGTACAATTATTGTTATCGACTGTTTATCGTTTCTATTAATTGATTAACTTTGAACATTATCTATAATTGGATTATGATAGTCGACCAGCTGTAACTATTCTTTGAACAGCCCATGTAAAAAAAAAATTGCAAAGCACATACGTGGCTTCGTTTTATGTCTGGCGGACCATAAAATAACCAAAGGTTAGGGCACTTATGTAAAACTGAAGACTACTTAAATTACACGTCTGCGTAACTTAGTAAAATAATTACCGCATTGAACTACACATAGCTACATAAATTAACCTAACCTAACACAGACAACTTCTATCTATTGTTGTGTGTATATAAATTATTTCCTTGGTTTCGGTTGACAGTGTAAAGGTGAGCCATTTAACATAAAAGACACTTTTTTTTTGAAAATAATTAAAAATGTTTAAGTCTTTGTTTTTGGAGATATTGTTTGTTATTTAAATTTTTCAATACTGCAAAATATTTGTTATTATTTCCAAAGAAAATGAGTATTTTACGTTAAATGGGTCAGTCTGTATGTTGGATTGATCCAAAAATACAGAATTTCGTATTTTGAACGTGCTTTTGAATTAATATCTTCCATTATATTTAAAAAGTATGGTCAATGCATAAAAAAATACTTTTTTTGTAGATACTTTTGTTTCTTTGACTGTTGCTCAATAACTTTGCACTTAATAATGCAGTTGAGTTCATTATCATTAGGAATGTATCAACAGATAGTCTACTGGTAGTACCATTGGTTATTGTGTAAAGTATAATATCTTAAATATAAGTTGTAAAAGACAATTTTTTTCCCTAATAATTTCACTATTCTAAGAAAATATAGTCTCCGTAGGATCCTAAAATTCTATTTTATCCTATTCAGCATTAAAAATTAACTAACTTTTATAACCTTAAAAAAAAAAGACCTAATACTGTATAATACTTAAAATGATGTATCTTACTTATGAAGGGCTATAGTTAAAAATGTCATTGGTACGCTTATGAAACGACCAATAGCGTCCTCTAGACATAAATATTGTTAGGGCAAAAATGTATAGTGATATATTTTTACATATAATAAAAGATATAAATCAAGAGCATGTTCAAAAAACAAAATTAGATTTATTTAGTCAGCCTAGTTTATATTGTATGCATACTAGACTACATTAACTTGTATATGTATATAAACTTATGTACAAACTGATCTACATCAATGGTCTTCAACCAAGTTTTGAAAGTTGACCACTAAGGTTACCACTGAAATGGGAAATGTAAGCAACTATATTGTTGTTTGCGCCAATTTAATTTAAGAAACTTTCCAGCGTAACTTTCGAGATTACTTAATTAAACGTTTTAAGTAGAGTGGTTTAATTCAGTCTATCCTATGCAGGTGTTAGACTTTAATTGTTTTTTGTCCGCAATGACAATAAAAAATCCCGACGTACTTTTTTTGTATCAGCAGTAAAAAGGACTTTTATTATTGTTATTCAATTGATGTTCCGCAAGCCATCACTTTTTCGTTAAAATTAATTAAGCATTACCTTATTACTAAATTCTCATACATTCCAATTCAAATTGACCAATACCGAATTATCATACCGCTTGTTATCAGCCATTTGATTTTAACACATCTTTCAGATATGTACAAAAGTTTGTTTTTAAGACTTAATGTTATCATACCTTTTGGTAGTATTTTATTCACTTGGACACATTTTATTATATGATCATTTATTAATTTTATTATCTCTAGCATATTGCTAGTTAGAAATTATTATGATTGACATTTGAACTTAATAAAATAATCAGTTAATCCCAAAAAAGAGTAGTACATTAAATAGTTGCCTATAATTTCTTTATAAATATAATAGGGGTTTTTTTATTATTATAAATGCATTCCATGAAAATATAACGGTAAGACAAAACAAAAAGTGGGTCACAACTTGACCTTTGAAGTTGTGTTGTCATTTCATTTTCTGCGTATAGACTAGTTACCCCTGCAATAAAATACCAGCGGGTAACGGGCGTATAATGATTGTTATAACAATCATTATACTATAGCAACAGTTGTGCACGCTTTTTATTGTTACATTAAGTGGAAAGCACTTGAAATTTTAGTAGGCTCACTTTAAATAAATATTCTACTTAGGAGTTAGACTAGATTTTTGTTCGAAAATAGCGCTAAAAATGAAATACTGCGCAATATGGAATATAATTTAATTCTCGTAAATACAATATAGTTGCATGCCATGCACGTGTCACCGATATTTATACATCATTATCGCGTAAATATTCGCATTAAAATTGTTTTTATTCGGTGTGAAGCTATAAATAAAAACGTTTAATAGATAAATGATTAATCTTACCAGTTTAGGTTAATATAATCTGCCTAGTTGTTAGAATAATTAATATTTACAATGTAAATTTTACTACAACGTTTCAAAAGTATTTCTGTAAAATTCTCTATGAATAAGTGCAAAAGTTGTCCGAAAATATTATTATTATTTTCGAACATTATTTAAAAAAAATAAACAACAATTCAGTAGGCATTGTTAAATAGAAATTATGAATATGCAAAATATATTAAATTAAAATTTTACATTTTAATACTTATTTTTATAAGTGTAAATATACATAACCAATGCAAGGGAACTGTTGGTCCCATGACTTCTCCACATACTCTATATTATAGTACTATCAAAGAGGAAAATGCTCATAACGTCAATTCATTAAGAATTACACGAGTGAGTAAAAATAATTATATGACGAGAGATTTATAATTGTGTATATATGTAAATATTTTGTGGCATTATGAAAAATAATTGTATAAAAGAGGTCATATATTACGTCACAGATTTATCTTTCACTCCACTCAAGCAAAGAGATACACATAATAAATAAAAGGAAAATATATGCATTCATAAATCAAAGCCAAACCCTCTCAATGTATATTTTACATAACTCCAAGTACATCTGTACCAAATAACACCAAAGGCGATCACCATACCTGCACTTCCATTCAAAGATTTTCTTTTCCATGCTCGCTTTTTCACTTCTTTAAATTCAAACTATCTAGAAAGTCTCGCACATGTGAAAAATTCTCACGTTCTTTCAAAAGGTAACGCATTTCTCGTTTGGTAACCTAAGTCTCTTAGTGGATTCACAACGGACTTATATTACAAACTTTAAGGAGTTAATGACGCAGCCGGATCCAACCGGTAATAACTTATACTTGAAGCATTTGGTTACGTTACACCGTATCATACATAATATATTAACTCATGATTTTATAAAACTACAACATTCCTAGAGCGAGTGTGTTTGGTAATGCGTTTTTAGCGTATCAAGCCGAGAAAAAAAAGTGCGGTCTAGCAATATGTTGAAGAATTATAAATATTAAAAGTTAAGTAATACAATTTTAACAAAATATACCCTTGACCACAAAAAAGAAATATACTTTTTCAGTAGCAATGCTATCAACATCAGCGCTTACGGCAGATTGAGTAAAGTTTTAATATTTCTACTAAATACCTATATTTTCAAATTTTAACACCGAAATAAGAAAAATGTACTTAGACACTGTTAGTTGTACAACATATATTTATTTTATAATTTAGGTGATTTATTAGATAGCGCGTTGGTTTCATAATGTTTCGTTAGTTTTAGAACACTGTTTGAACATATTATTTAATTTGTGCTTGTCATATTTGGCACAATAACGATGCAACGGTCGCTTAACTAACGCTGACCAAAGGAATTTTGTGCCTATAAGAGAAGGAAAAAGGGGCGTTTGCTCCTTGAAAAGTTTGCCACTATGAGATATGAACCACAAGAGACCGAAAGCCAACCGCTGACGTAAGTGGATAATAGTGTTGCATTTTTAACACACATTTCGCCACATAGTTTCATTATTGTTCAACAATTACTTTTTGATCATTTAACAATGTATAAGGTAATCAAATTTGTACTGTAAAAATACATCAATTGAAATTAGAACAGTTTTAAAAGCCCCTATGATTATTTCTCGACTAAATATCAACATTTGGTCAATTTGGTAAAAAGGCAAAAAGCAATTTGTTTAAAGGTTAATTATCCTGCAAACCCGAATTTTACCATTAGTACAATGGCTAAACAATAGTATTATAACTCAGAAATATCTAATTACATATAAAATGTCTATGAAGACTTAAAAAGGTTCGACACTACGAATACTCTTAAAGAGTTGTGCTAATGGAAGCATTGTAATCAGAATCAAGTAAAATTTAAACAAATAACGAATAAAAGACAAATCCGATTAACGTATTAATTGAACAAAAAGATAATTTTTCATATAAATAAGTTGCTTATTAAATCATTTTCGAACAAGGTTATTCCAGTAAATTATTATTTGACAATAAAACTTATTTTAATAATTTGTAATACGGATAAAAATTTATTTAATATCAAGTATTAAATATTTTAATGTTGTTCATCTTTAATAACAATAATTAATTATTGTGGTGACAAATGTCAATCAATATTTATGACTTACCATCCAAAACAGCGTTTCGTTTGCAAACCCCGAATATTCGTCGATCGTTGAGAGTACGCTGAAAATCAAACATACTAATACGACCATGAACCTGAAAAAAAAATCATAAACATGTTATTATTATGAATAGTCGATGAAAAATAAAAACTAAATAACATGAAATTCGGTCGAACGATAAGATACCGCAACTAATTAAAACTGTATATCTACTTAGAAAAATTAACTGTTAGAATAGTATAAAATATGTTACTCACAACAGGACACAGGGCATTATAAATAAAAAGTATAACATATGTTTTATACATTTCAATGTGTTAAATTACATTTTTTAGCTTCGGCGCGCAACTAAAAAAGTATAGTATTTGTATAGTTTTACTATGATCCTATATTTTTTTTTGATTATGTTTGGACTCACGATATTTTTTAAACCGCTAAACCGATATCTTCATGTAGCAAGTTTATAGATCAGAAATTGTACACGAAATATACATTTTTGGACCAAAAATTCATTCCTTCCCCTTTAAAATAGAGAAAAGAATCCAAAAAAATGTACATTTTTTGTGTGCGACATTATTTTTCTGTTAACGTCTAATAACATATTCACAATCAATATACTATAAGCTTTAAGTATCATATTGTTAAAGCAAAAATAATTGGTTTTGGTTTTAAAAACAGTTTCGTACCGTGAAGCTTAAGTCTTATTTCGCGAGCTCCATAATGATTCTCTAACGTGATTCCACATTTGTTACATTCCCATCGTTGGTTTCATCAGCTAAATTACCAAAACAGTTAACACCCAGCATGTACGTTATTTCTGGTTTAGAAACTCATCAAGAACTTACGGCGAGAATCTTCAAAGTTCATTGTTAAATTTCAAACAACGGCAAAACAACAATAAACTATCTACACGGCAATTCTCATAACTGGCACGTTAAAAAAGTAAATAGTTTATGTATGACTTTTCACCTAAGTGAACCGAGAAATCCAGCACAGAGATATTATTTAAATTTAGTAACAAAAGATTTTTCTGGGAGTTTACTATTAATTTTACAGCTTACTACATATCTATACATTAGGGAGTTGTTCGCCATTTAATATCAATTATGACCACCAGTAAATAATAAATATGAAATAATTATCCGTCCGATAAACGTTTTTTCAAAAAATAAAAATACATTAACTAGATAAGAAAATCAGAAATCATATAATATTAATTATAAGGTTATTAAATAAATTAATAAATATTATGATACTTTACTAAAAAGTGTATCATTATATTATTTTTTGATATACTTAATAATGACTCCAATGTGTACAACAATTCCATAAGAAAAACTTTAATCCTGACTTCCTCTTTCCGTTTAGCTTTTTCACGCCGGTTTTAAGATAAATCTTCTTGTTTTGGTTTTATGTATTGGCTTTTTTAGTTATCTTTTGGGCTATAGCTTAGAAGCAGGCATTTATGTAGATCCTGTAGTCTACTTGTGTGTGTGTGTGACGGACGAAGTACCCAGCGGGCGCGGGTAGACGTGCGGTGCCGGGCGCGCGCGTATGTCGATATCGGCGAACTTTACAAAAAGTCTGTAACTTCCTAAGTGCGAGCTAGGCGAATTTTTTACATATTCGTAATCAGCATTAAAAATACTATCGTTTAAAAAACAAACAAAAAGTGTCCGGTAAAGTAGATTTAAACCTAAAATAATTTGTTACATATTTAACGATATATACTCAGGTTAAGTATTTCTTTACACTGTTTCGAACCCCGAAATTTCTTATTTTTAATATTTCAAACTATAATTTGCTTTTTACCTTTTTTCTTAATTCCTCTTCTGTGCTATTCTGTGTGTGCGTCTTCTGTGCTTTCATTATCAACTTACTTTGATCATCTCTTTTCCCACCCTCATATTTTTGCAAAATTCAGAAAGCAGCTCAAAAAGTACTCGGTTTGCGGGTATTAAAATTCCCATTTGCATATTTTACATGTTTAATTTGAATTTAAAAGACATCGTTGGTTTTGTTTTATTTTTATTCTTGTCAACACTGTAGTTTTATAATATGTGTAAGAAATGTGTATCATTTAACAGCGAACACTAGCTTATATTGAGTTTATACCAAAGCATTAACAAATTAAATAATTAAAAGAATACCTATATCACAAAATTTGTTATAGTTAGAATAATGTCATTCACATAATCTTTATGTAATTTAATGAAAAGCAAAACGGTCAGTAAAAAGTATTAGGAGTTATTTTATTAGATGTATAAATAGTTATTAAGAAATACAAGTCTTATCAACCGAATAAGTAAGAAACTTAACAGTGACTTAAATTGACTTTCTTTTGTGTGTAGTAATAATTGTTGTATTTATTTTGTAGGAACTAATATAATAAAAATAAATTCGCCATGACAGCTGCCATTCAAAATCATTCACACCTGACACTTTAACGCTTTTATTTCATAAACACAGTTTTTTAGAGAATAAAAATAAATTGGTTCAAATAATTTCTAGGTGTGTGGCAGAATGATGTGTAAAAGTTAAGAATGTTATAAAACGTATTTTTTTATCATTTAAGTTTTTTCTATTATAAAAAATTATTGTTTTTGTAGTATTATGAATTACTAAAATGTAATCAGAACGTTATATTATTGTTTATAAGTACATTTTCAAACATCACTGCAAATCAAAGAAATCTTGTTTGAATGGGAAAATAATGTAAATAATATTTATTTTACCTTGCAAACAAAATCATGTTTATATTTATAAAAAGAAAGTAAGAAAGCTATTTTAATTTCACACTAAGGGCGAAAACAAACATGGTAGTAGTAGGTACAAACGGTTACCTAAATTCACTCTGACGCAAACAAGGTGAAATGAAGTGAAAAAAAAACTTATAGGTATAGTTACTCTGATTGATAAAAGTAACGCAACAAACAATATTTGTTAAAAATTGATAATGGTTAGTAGTTAGTTAAAATTACGACCATACGAATTAAAAAATATTTTGATTGTTTAGAGGTGAAACAAAATTATTTCTCAAAAGACAACTTAATTTTAAAATGACCTCATACACCTAAATTATAATAGTAAGTATAATTGTAATTAAAAACAATTTTTTTTCGACGACTAACATTATGGTGCATTAACTTAGTCCAGAATACATCTCCAAAACTTTATAGTTAAAAAAAAAAGGTAAAATAAACATAAAACATGGACTGAAGTGTTTTGACATTTGCGAATAAATTGGAACTAGCCGTCAAATTTCCAGAAGATGTCTATCTACTGCAAGAACAAAACTGAAAACTTTTGTGAATACCATTACACACACACACATATAAATATCACATATAGAATAACGATAAAGGAAACTAGGTTGCATCATAAACTTTTCGAAACTTTCAGCTAACACAAAAAATGAATCACTTTAAAATCTAGAAAAATTTTTAAACGATGAATAATGTACGGTTTTTGAATGTAGACAAAACAAAACTTTAGTAAAACGCTTGGACCAATGATTTGATCAAATTTTTTTATTAATGTTTTATTTTTCCCTGATAAGCTTATTATCTAAGCTTTGAGATTTCACTTTCTTATCATTAATCAAATTTTTAATTATAATATATGTAAATAGTGAAGTATAAATTAAATCTTAGGCTCGGCCCACAGAATGTTTTATTTTGATACTATGTTTATTTTTACTTTCATTTGCATGCGTCTCACTATTTTTAACTGTATACTATTATTAATAATTGTAATTTATATCATTTAATTGTCATCTTTATTATTTACTAATATGTATGTATTTTTTTGTAAATTGCCGTAAGGCGTAAAATAAATAAATAAATAACAAATATTTGTTTTGCATATTTTACAATGAACAAGTTTAATTTTAATTTAAAAAATCATTTTTCATCGGAGTCTGCAACCACGAAAGACTATTTTCATGTCTCGTTGAAGTACCGAATAATTTTTAGAGTGGTGGTGGAATTATAGATAATGAAATAGTATACTAACAAGCAGTATCTAAGGTGGCTAGTAAACATAACACGTTTCTGGCTAATATTTTAGTGTTTGCATAATATCTGGCCTAAAACAATTCATAGGATATATGACCTGTTAAATTATATTGAATTTCTTTTTCAGTAATAATTTGATCGTCGTGAATACAACATATCTCTTATCAGATAACAGCGTAATGTTTTTTCGGTTATGTGCCTGAGCAAACCACCACCACTCCCACCCGTAACCCAATTCCCAACCCCATCCCATTATGAAAGTTATCAGTTAACCGTGATCCGATTGGCAGATGACTGAAAACTGAAAATGGTGTGTGAAATCTAATCGTTGTTGTTTTTTATATAAGTAGTTAAAATAAGAGATAATTGCTTACAGCAAGAAAATCAGAAACAGTATATTTAGATCCACGTTTAATACGATTTGACCCCTTGTTATAACGATAAACTGATAAGTGATAACCATAAACTGAAGGCCAAGCTAGTCTTAAAACACAGTATAAAATATATTGCCCTTATCCCACCTTAACATTGTGAATGTGGGTGAATAACAATACTATTATGTTGAAAATAAATATTAATAATTCTATTATGTTAAATCTGTCCCTGTAGTATTTTCGTTGCAAAGCTGAGTTTGTGTATTGCATGGTTCATAAGCCCAATAGTTCTCGGACTTAACTAATTATAAAGTATACTTTAGCCATGGTTCTAATAATAATATGCACACACATAAAGCTTTTGTATTCTATAAGCATCGCGTGTATAATTGTCGGTTTTATAGCTTCTCTTATAAATTGGCAATTATACGATTTCAGGTAAACCACATGGAATTCACATGCTGCTATTTCCTATAGAAATATTTTAAGTACTCATAGTTAGTATTGCATTTCGAAGTATGTTCTCGCCAATCCTTGGCTTACTGTTAACTTTCAAATGTATAACAAACTTGGTGGTTGCAAATACCTACCTATTACAAAATTCTCTCAAACGATACTGTCTAATGATAGTATTAAAATTATTATTTTTATTTAATTTACTATCCATAGTTACTACTAGGTATGCACATTATAAAAACAATTTC